GACCCCCTACCCCGCAAGATCTCGCCCGAAACCTACCATGCGCCCTCCCCTGGACCCCCCCCCTGGCCTGGCATCCCCATCCCGGGGGAGCTCGGTGCTTGGGGCCCCCTACCCCGCAAGTTCTCGCCCGGAACCTACCATGCGCCCCCCTCCTGGACCCCCTCCTCCTGGAGGGAGACTCTGTGCTTGGGACCCCCTACCCCGCAAATCTCGCCCGAAACCTACCAACGCCCCCTCCTGGACCCCTCCTGGCCGGGCATCCCCATCCCGGGAGAGCTCTGTGCTTGGGACCCCCTACCCCGCAAGTTCTCGCCCGAAACCTACCAACGCCCCCCTCCTGGACCCCCTCCTGGCCTGGCATCCCCATCCCGGGAGAGCTCTGTGCTCGGGCCCCCCACCCCGCAAGATCTCGCCCGAACCTACCATGCCCCCCCTGGACCCCCTGGCCTGGCATCCCCACCCCGGGAGAGCTCTGCGCTTGGGACCCCCTACCCCGCAAGTTCTCGCCCGAAACCTACCATGCGCCCCCCCCCTGCGCCCCCTCTGGCCTGGCACCCCATCCCGGAGAGCTCTGTGCTTGGGGCCCCCTACCCCGCAAGTTCTCGCCCGAAACCTACCGTGCGCCCCCCATCCTGCACCCCCTCCTGGCCTGGCACCCCCATCCCGGGAGAGCTCTGTGCTTGGGGCCCCCTACCCCGCAAGTTCCCGCCCGAAACCTACCATGCGCGCCCCTCGAACATGCCGCGGGGGGCCCGCGAGGCTTTCCGAGCGGTCCAAGAAGGCTACGAGCCGCCAGAAGATCGGTCCAACGTGCTCACGCTGGCCTCCACACGGCCCAAGAAGCCCCCAAGACGCTCCAAGGGGCCCCCAAGAGGCGCCCCAAGACGCCCTCCAAAAGCAACATCGCCCCAGTCCCATGAGGAACCATTCATTCCTAACCCATTTCCCAACACGGCCAAAGAAGCCCCCCAGAAGGCTCCCAGACGACCCATGAGTGCCCCACAACCGCTCAAAAGAATAGCGGCCCAAGGGGGCCCAGGACAGCCCCAAAAGATAGCCCACAGGGGGGGCCCGAGCGGACATGTCGAGCCTTCGGCCCCAAAGCGCTCCCCAGTTGCCCCGAGAAGCCCCCAACAGGCCCCCAAACAACCAAAAGGCTCCCAGGAGGCCCCCAAGAGGAGCACAAACTGCTCCCCAAACACCTCCGAGACGCCTCCTACGAGACACCCTTTGCCATCCGCGTGGCCTCCGACCCGCGGCCCAGGCACGGTGGCGGGCTTCGACGTCCAGAACCGCCCCGATCCCCCAACCACGTCTGACACCCCCCTTCCGTCCTCCCCCAAGACAACCCCTGGCCTCGGGGCGATCTGGGAGGCCATTTGGAAAGTTGAACCAAACACACATGGTTACAACTGGGCACGCAAACTCTTCAGGAGTCGGCGGCAGAGGCGGCAGCTTTAGATAAAACGATAAACGCAATTGCGCAGGCCGAAGTGCTTATGCCCTTAAAGCTGGGGTGTAGCTACGCATCGGATATACAGATAAACAAATAAACCGGCAAGGGTGAAGTTCTCATGTCTGGAGTGTGGCCACGCACCGAACAAACCGATAAACCGATAAACGCAACTGCGCAGGCCGAGGCGTTAGGGCGGCGCCCTTAGGGCTGGGGTAGAACTACGCTAAAGAGATACACGCGTAAGCCGATAGACGCAATCAGAACTGAAGGCCCAACGCGGGGGCGAGGGGCGGGTTTTGCGGTTTGCCGGTTCGCGCGGCTATCGCCCGATAAACCGATGCAAAGATGTAAATTTATCGGTTCAGTGATTTTAAACGATATCTTGCGGTTGCAATATTTGTTCCTGCTTTCTTTCTGGGCCCCTCTTAGGGCATCTTGGGCCGTCCTTGACGTTTTTTGGGCCGTCTTGACGTTCTCTTGAGCAGGTTTGGGGGCCTTCTGAAAACCTGGGCCGTTTTGGAGCGATCTGCGAAGCTTCTTGGGCAATCTTGGAGCTTTGATAAGCCGAGCAGCTATGCAGGGAAATCAATGTCTTGCTTCTTGGTGCTCTCTTGAAAGGCCCAATTGGTACTGCTGCGGGGTCTTTTAGGGGGCCGTTTCTTGGGGGCCTCTCGGGGCCTGTTGGGGGCACCTCGTTGGCCTCTGGGATGCTCTTGGGTAGTCTTGGAGCGGAGAGCTGGAAATGTCCGCTTCTGCTTCTCTTTTGTGTCCTCTCTTGGAGCCGTCTCGGAGGCCCTTGGGCCGCCTTGGGCTCATCTTGAGCCGTCTTGACGCCCTCTTGGGGTGTGTTGGGGTCCTCTTGGACGCATCTTGGGCCGTCTTTGAATGATGCGCGAAGCCTCTTGGGCTGTCTTGGACCGTCGGGAAGCGGAACGCGCGACAAGAGAGAAACAGCAAAGAAAGGATAACAATGAATTCAACACAACCGAAATAGGTCTTCAATAACCCCCCAAACATGGGAAAATGTTCACCTGTCTTTCTCGGGGGCTAATTGAAGGACTGGGGCGCCAACTGTACTCGGGCAGTAATCATTCTTCCGCCGCCGCCGTCGCCGTCGCCCCGGAGGAGGAAAGGAGGGGGGGCGGATGACAAGGCGAACTGGGGCACGCGCAGCATAAAACAAGCATTAAGGTTATTGTAGCCCTCTCGGAGGGCATATCGGAGCCCAGTGGGGAGGGACGTCTTGGAGGCCTGGTGGGCCGTCTCGAAACAATGGCGGGCGTCTTCGGGGCGTCTCGGGGCCCCCCTGGCCAACTTTAGGGCCCTGTTGGCACATCGAGGATCAGTTGGGAAAGGGATCTGGGGTCGTCAGGGAGCCCTCAGAACCGTCCAGGGCCCCCAACGGCCCCCGTGCAAACCTTTGGCACCGGCCTGGAAAACGCGGTCTACTCCGACATCTGTGCATAAAATCCGTAAACTGAAACACGCACACAGACACGACATCAATGATGTGAATGCCATAAGGCAGCTGCCAACGTATTCGCGCCGCAGCATTCTCCTGCGCTGACCTGCACAAAGCAATTCGTCTTGGAATCGGGTCTGGATGGGGCGCTGGGGGTACTTTTTCGATCGCGACCGCGAGCGGGCACCCGCGCGGCGTCAAAAGGTCGTGCGGAAAAAGAACAGGCCACTACGCCGAGCCAGCGCTAGAGTGACGAAAACGGGCGGCGACGCAACGCGGCACCGCGAGCGAAGAATGAGAGAAAGAAGACGACGAAGAAGCGAAGAGGGCAGAAAGAAGCGAGAGAAGAAAGACGAACGGAGCGAGAATGAGAAAGGCACAGGCCGCAGCTCAGAGGTCAAAGAGCGGGTCGGTGAACACCGTGGCCATGTTGTACTTCGTGTGCTTGCCGCGAGCGGGCGAACTGGTATTCGATACCTCTCCAGCCGCCAGACGTCGATAGCCTCGAGCTGTCAGAAGCAAGTAACCGCGATGCTCAAATGCAGTCTGCGAGAACGGAGACCGTGTCAGTGGAAGCCTGAGCAACGTCCGTGCCGTAGACCAGGTAGCTGCCCCCACGGCCGTCTCCAGGGCCGACGCAGGACCGCGAGCGTGAAGGGAATCTACCAGCCCGCGTGCCCCAGGGGGGGAGCAAGGAAGCCAGAAGCGCCCGGCGGAGGGGGGCGGCTGACAGCCGCAGGAAAGACTGTTAGCTTCAGAGGGTGTCGGCTGACAGCTGTTGGAAGGTAGGTCAAACACGTCCAGCACCGCCTGAGACCAGCCAACGGCCCCAGGGGTGCAGCTAACAGCCGCGGGCGAAGGTGGGAAGAGGTTTCGCCTGAGACATACCGGTGCACAGCAGGGGTGCGTCTAACAGTCACAGGAAAGGCTGGAAAAGGGTTTGGCCTGGGACCTGCTAAAGCTCTGGGGTGCGGCTGACCGCCGCGGAATAGTAGAAAGAGTCCCGTCTGCATGGTCGTCTGGGGTGCGGCTAACAGCCGCAGGATGGTGGGAGAAGGTGTCGCCTGAGACAAGCCGATGCTTTGCTACGGTGCGGCAAACAGCTGAGGGGGGGTGGGACATGACTTCGCCTGGGTCGTGTTGAGAATGCCACGCCCGGTTCGCACGGAAGGGGTGCGGCTGACAGCCGCGGGAAAGTAGGACATGTTTTCGACTGAGACCTGCCAGCGCACAGCTGGGGTGAGGCTAACAGCCGCAGGATGGAAGGGAAAGGTACCGCATGAGACTTGCCGGAGCACAGCTGGGGTGCGGCTGACAGCCGCAGGATGGAGGGAAATGGTTACGCCTGAGACATGCCGACGCCCAGTTGGGGTGCGGCTAACAGCTGCGGGAAGGTGAGAAATGGTTTCGCCTGAAACCTGCCAATGCGCAGAAGGGGTGCGGCTGACAGCCGCAGGGTGGAGGGAAATGGTTTCGCCTGAGACCTGCCGACGCACAGAAGGGGTGCGGCTAACAGCCGCGGGATGGTACTGATAGGTAGAGCTCGAGACTTGCCGATGCTCTGCTTGGGTGCGGCGAACAGCCGCAGGAAGGTGGGAAGTGGTGACGCCTGAGACATGCCGACGCGCAGCTGGGGTGCGGCAGACATTCGCGAAGGAACAAGGAAGGGAAGGGCCAAAGAGGACGTGGGAGCCAGCGACATAGGGACGTCCAGACTGAGGAACAACTGGGTGCGGCTGACAGCCGCGTGAAGGGTGGAGTGGCCAGGATAAGACCGTCGAGCCCGACCCACAAGGACGGGTAGGGTACCACAACCCGTTCCACACCAGTGCACGGGGGATGCGCGGAATGTCAAGATTGTAGATGCGAAATAGCGTTTCACGACACTGCGCCGCCTGTCAGGATCTGGCCTCGGCAATGCTGGGACGCAAGGGATCGGGTATCAGTTCGAGGGGGACACGTCGACGCATAGGGGGACACGTCATAGACACGTCATAGTCCTACTGCTCTTCCACTTGCACACCCTTTCCCCCATGTCTCTCATCGCCCCTACTCGTCGCAGAAAGGAGGGGGGTGGCGGGCCGAAAAGGCGAGGTCCAGGACGCAGAGCAGGGACGCCGCGACCTGGTCGAGTCGCGGGCAGGGCCTGCAAAAACGCGCAGACGAATTCGCTCTCGAGGAGAAAAACCTTGCGTGTGTCGACTCGAGTGGCGCGCGCGTGATCAACTGATGATAACCAGCCCGCCCCCCCCCCCCCCTGGGAAATCAGAGGCGACGATAGGGGCGAATGGCCCATGGGAGAGCAATACATGTATCCAGGGGCGCCGATGATACATGTCTTCGACAAGGCTCCCGGGCGAATGCGTGTCATGCCCGCCCCTGGGCTATTCGCCCCTATCGTCGCCGCCGAGGGAACCTCGGCGCCCCGCTGTCCGGCCTGCCCCACAGGTGGGAATCGGCGCCGCCCCCCCGAACCTCAGCGACATGGCGGCGAGTGTGCAGAGCAGCGAGACGACGATGGCGCTCTGATCCTCCTGTAGGATGCCTCACTGTCCCCCACCTCCTCGACATCGCCGATCTGGCATGTGCTTAGTGCCATTTCTCCCTCACGCTGCTCTGGTTCTCTCTTTCTCTCTCTCTCTCTCTTTCTCTCTGTTTCTCTCTTTGTCTCTCTCTCTCTCTCTGTCATGTTTTTTGTGTATGTCTCTCTCTCTCTCTCTCTTGTCTCTCTCTCTCTCTATATCTCTCTCTCTTTCCGTAGCCATCTGGCTCAAACCGAGTTGGAGCAAGCCCCGTGCCCAGACCGCGCTCACAGCACGGGGCCTGGCGGTGTTCTTCGATACTCGTAAATTTGGACCTCTGACGGCTGGTGAGAAACACGTCATGATCGGATATGATTGGGTATCTGGTCGGTTCTCTGACTTCGCAGTGGGGGATTATCTCTCTCTCTCTCTCTCTTTTTCTCTCTCTCCCTCCCTCTCTCTCTCTGTCGCTCTCTCTCTCTCTCTCTCTCTCTCTCTATATATTTATATATGTATCCTGCTGTCTCTCTCTCTCTCTCGATTTTGTTGCTCTCTCTCTCTCTCTATACTTCTCTTGTTCTAGAGCGAGCGCTGTTTCTGCACCACGTCGGAGAGCGAGAGCTAGCTCGCCCGGCTCCGAGCGGTGTGGAAGGCGGGCCACGCCTTCCTCCCCTCGTACGCAGCGCAGTGTTCATAACTCCGTCGGTGGAGAGACATCGTCCGGCGAGAGCCTCAAGAAGAGGCCCCCCCGCCCCACAAGCTCAAACTCAAGATCTGGAGTTTCCAGGAATGGCGCGGCGCTTGGCCGACAAATTGGCCAGACTAACGATTTACTGTTCAAGGAACAATCGGCGTTCTCGAGACAGCGGCGCCTCGTACAAAACACAATACTTGCGCCCCCGAGGCCAACGCGAACGCCGAGCGACGACGACTCTGTAAACGGGAAGCCGTTCCTGAAAAAATGAGATCGTGACGTCCTTCTAAAACGCGTGAGAACAATTAAATTTGGGCGCTGAGCTCGCCGCGCGACGATCCCACGCGCGTGGGCCCAACGAAGTGCGTTCATCATCACCGTTATCCGCTGCACCTCGCGCGGGCCCAACAAGTCCGACGGGCGACTGCGTCAAGGAACGCGGAGGCACAGGCTCGTCGCGCCTCGCATGGGGTAGTTGGACAGTGGACAGGTCCGAGGGGCAACTGCTTCATAGAATGATCAGGGCGTCGCGCGATGGCGCAGGGTCGCTCCAGTGCGCCCTGGGAGGGTGGCTCCACGACTGACGGCCCAAAACAAAAGTCGAGGGTCCGATGAACTGCGTGCACCTCTTCTGTCTACCCCTCTTCCTTCTTCGCCAACACCCCTTTCGCAAGTCTAACCTGCCCCGAACCAGACAGGCGGCAGAATCTGCAAGTCTGACGGACAACTGCGCAAAATATTGCGCGCGGCATCCGGGGCACAGGCGCGGCGCGCTTCACAAGGGATGCATCGAATAATGCGTAGGTCCGAAGGACGACTGCGTCAAGGGATGCTCAGGGCGCACCGAAATAGCACCGACTCATTCCAATGCGCCCCGGGTGGGTGGCCCCGCGTTCGAAGGTCCGAGGCAGAAGCGAACTCGCCTCCCCCTCCACCTCGGCCCCACCCACCGCCGAACCTCGCGCGTGTCCGACATGCTCTGGAACGCGCGAGTGGACGCGCAACTCCGACGGACAACCGAATCGAATGATGCGCGTGGCACCCGGAGGCACAAGCTTGGCTGGCACTCCACGCAGAAGATATATGGAACCTGACCGGACAAGAACGGGAAGCGTCCCTTAGTGTCCGGGGCTTATGAGATATCCTACGTTCTGAATATGTGCTACGAAAGTTTGTCGTGGCGTGCGTGCGTCTGTCTGCGCGCGAGTGCGCGCGCGGAATATGTGCATGTGCGTCCGTGCGTGGAGGTCTGCGGCGCTGCTGTGTTGTGCCGTGCTGCTCTGCCGTGCTCCTGTGGTCTGCGTGAACGCATGTTGCCTCCCTGTGTGTGCGTGTGTGCGTGTATGTGTCTGTATGCGTGCGCGTGCGCGCGTGCCCGTGCGTGCGTGCGCCTGTCTGCGTGCGCCTGTGCGCGGTTGTGTGAATAGAAAGTATGGGTGTTTTGCCGTGTCCTTGCGTGTTCTGCCGCGTTCCCATGCGTTCTGCCGCGCCCCTGTGCGTTCTGCCATGTTCCTGCTCTGCTGTGCTCTTTTGCGTTCTGCCGTTCTCCTGCGTGTTCTGCCGTGCTTCTGCGTGATCTGCCGTGCTCCTGCTTGTTTTGCCTAGCTCCCATGTGTTTTGTGTAATCTGCCGCGCTCCTGTGCATTCTGCCGTGCTCCTGTGTCTTCTGCCATGCTCCTATGTATTATGTGCGTTCTGCCGTGTGCCTCATGTTCCTGCATGGTCTGCCGTGCTCCTGCGTGCTCTCTGTGTGTTATGCCGTGCTCCTGTGTGTTCTGCCGTGCTCCTGCTCGTTGTGCCGTGTTCCTCTTTGTTTTGTGTGTTCTATCGCGTTCCTGCGTGTCCTGCCGAACTCCTGTGTATTCTGCCGTGCTATTATGTATTCTGCGTTCTGCCATGCTCCTCGTGTTCCTGCGCGTTCTGCCGTGCTCCTGCGTGTTCTGTCGTGCTCCTGCGTGTTCTGCCGTGCTCCTGCGCGTTCTGCGCGTGCTTGCCGCGCTCCTGCGTGTTCTGTCGTGCTCCTGTGTATTATGTGCGTTCAGCTGTGATCCTCATGCCGTGTTCTCCTATGTTCCTGCGCGTTCTGCCGTGCTCCTGCGTGCTGTGCGATGCTCCCGTGTGTTCTTTGGGTCCTGCCGTGCCCCTGCGTGCTGTGCCGTGTTCCTGCGCGTTCTGCCGTGCTCCCGCGCGTTCTGCCGTGCTCCCGCGCGTCGGTCTGCGGCGATCCCGCCCCCCGCGTTCTGAAGACGTCTCGGGCGAAAAGCTGAATTCTGACATGCGCGATTTAAAATCAACCCTTTCGACATCCCATGTTTTCGGACATGTCTCAGGCGATACCCCCATGTCCATAGGTGTGAAATTCGCGACGTTCTTTTTCTGAACGCCTCAAGCGAAACGCCTGTTGTTGTAAAACAGGCGATGTTGCGCACAACTTGTTGTGTTGAGGATGTCTCAAGCGAAATGCGCATTTTGAAGGATCTCGAGGGCGCTCTTGGAGTCACATTGGGCCTCGTTTGGAGCTTGTTTGGGGCCGTCTCGATGCCGTAAAAAACTGATGTCATTACGATGTCACACATCTCTGGTTTGAACATGTCCCTAGCGAGTCGTCATTGTTAGATAGCTGGCTTGGGCCGTTTGGAAACCGTTTCAGTAGCGATTCCAAGGCGATGATAGTACAGCATAGTTCAAAACGATGCCGTTATATTGCTGCATTGTTTGAGGATGTCCCTAGCGAAATCGTCATTTTCGACAGTCATCAGGGCGCTCTTGGAACCGTCTTTGGGCCCACTATGGGCTCTCATTTCTTCATATTGAAGAACTTCAGGAACGATGTCAAGACGATGTTGAAAACATCTCATGTTGCCGAGGATGTCCCCAGCGAGCTGCACATTGTCTGCTGTGCTCTTTTTTTTTCTGGTCCGCCGTGCTGCCTCTCGTTTTCTGGGGACGTCCCGAACGAAAAAAATAGTTTTCAACATAAGAGGTAGTAATAAACCTCCGTCGACACCTCATTTTGGCTCCGATGTCTCAGGCGAAACGCATTTTTGTACAGATGATCGCAGGTCTCAATGTTTCGAGGATGTCTCGAGCGAAACGCTCGTTTCTATTAAGCGCGATGTCGCGAAGATGTCATGCTTGTGGGGATGTCTCAAGCGAAATCGCTACTTTGAGGAATCTGACCGGACAAGAACGGGAAGCGCCGTTTTTGTCCACTCGGTATGTGAAGTATGCAGTTTGGTGGGTCTGCCGCGCAGATATGTCATGGCGCGCGATCGTTTGCGCGCGCGCGTGCGTGCGTGGAATATGTGCATGTGCGTCCGTGCGTGAGGTCTGAGGCACTGCTGTGCTATGCTGCGCTGCTCTGCCGTGCTCCTGCTGTCTGCGTAAACGTATGTTGCCTCTCTGTGTGCGTGTGTTTGCGTGTGTCTGTGTGTGTGTGCGCGTGTGTGTGTGTGTGTGTGTGTGTGCGTGTGTGTGTGTGTGTGTGTATGTGTGTGTGTGTGTGTGTTCGCGTGCGTGCGCGTGTGCGTGTGCCTGTGTGCGTGTGCCTATGTGCGTGTGCCTGTGGGTGAGGCTGTGTGAATAGATGTTATGTGTGTTCTGCCGTGCTCCTGCGCGTTGGTCGGTTGGTTGGTTGGACCTGAAAGACAAGAAAAGGGGACCGAGGGGCCTCCAGGGGCACCGAGCGCCACCCGAGACACGCCCTCCCGAGAGGGGCCGCCTAGGGCCGCCTCTCCCTGCGGGGGCCGCACTGGGCCTCCACCGCGGGCGCGCCACAAGGCGATAACATATCTACATACTGAATGCAACTGCCCGCCTCACGCACTTCTGCGCCAGAGTGAACTCGACTGCGTTGCAATTGCACAGCGTGCACATTCAAGTACAGGAGGCTTCACCCACGACTCCCA